TCAAGGACAAGTCCTGGGTGAGTGTTAGTTTCCTTGCTGCCTTCTCAGAAGAGGTACATCTGAGCAGAGCCCGGGAGGCTGAGTAGGGTAAGCCAGACAGACAAGCTGGGGGCCGGCATTCCAGGTGGAGAGAAAAACATGAACCCAAGTGTGGAGGTGTGGGAGAACGTGGCCCGCGATGGAGCTGCCAGGAGTTAGCCGAGGCCGGGCCTGTGGAGGGGCATGGCCACCAGAGACTAGAGATGCTGGGGGAAGGAGGCTGGGCTCGCCTGGAGGATAGCAGAGAGCTGCTGAGGGTTGTAAGCAGAGGGAGAGGTATGCTACCATCTGCATTTTAGAAATTCCACTTTGGGGGCCAGGTGGAAGATGGACAGACAAGAATGGTGTTGACATAGGGAGATCAGGGACAAGGCTATGCTAGTCCTGAGTGGGCCCTCAGACAGGTACCAGCTAGCCATGCTGTTACTGCCACCAAGATTTCTTTTTCTCCAGCTTCGTGTGGTGTGGACCTTTTTGGGCCCTGGAGTATTGGAGAAGAGACTGCAATTGATCTGGTTTAGAAACCGATATGAGGGAATTTTCTCAGAAAATGAAAAAGGCTTAGAGGTAAAAATAAAAACTGCACATAATACCTCACTCCCCATGATAAGTTATTGTCAGGAGAGGTAGGGAAACCAAACTGATAATGTGAACTTTGGGGAGATTTTTGTCCTTAGAGAGTCCAGCTAGTGCTCTTTGAGGCCTCTTGGCTTCTTCTAGCACCTTCACCGTCCACAGATCCATGAATAATTTGAAGCTCTTCGTCTTCATCTTCGTTTTCTTCTTCATCTTCATCTTCATCTTGGCACCGAGAGGTTATGGCTCTGGTCCTCACTGAATTTGGCATCTATAGACAAGTCAATTAGTTAACTATTACTCTAGAATTCAGCATCTAAACAATAAACTTTCATCATCTCTCAGATTCTTTGGAGTCAGGAATGCGGGAGCAGCTGACCGGGGTGGTCCTGACCCTGGGTCGTCCATGAGGTTGCAGTTGGTTATCAACAGGGCTGCAGTCATCGTGACTGGAGGCCCCCTTCTAAGCTCACTCCTTGGTTTGGACTGGCTTCATCCTCTTGGCTGTTGTCTGGATTCTTTAGTTTCTCCCCACATGGGCCTTTTCACAGGCCACCTGAGTGTCCTTATGTGATGGCAGCTGGATGCCCCAGAGTGAGTGATTCCTGAGAGAGACGGTGCACGCACGATGGAAGCCCAATCTCCACAGGGAGGTGCCACCACTTCCAGAGCATCCTCTTGGTTAGATTAAGTCTCTGAGTCCAGCCCACAGCGAGAGGAGGGCCGGGGAGAGGAGTGCATCTCCACCTCTGGAAGGGAGCAGATGAGCACAGAATTTGTGGGTGTATTTTAAAAATCCCTCTAAGGCCCTTATTTCATCTTTGACAGATGATATGACACTGTGCTTAAGAGCATAAATTTCAGGTCCATAAAGACTTAGGTATAATCCTGTCTCCCACATTTGCTACTTATGTAGGTTTAGACAAGTCATTTAACTTTTTGGATCTCAATTTCCTAATCTATGAGATAGGGGTAAAAATAGTAGATGTTTCACTGCATGGCCATGAAAATGAAATAAGATCATATATGTAAAGTGCTTGGCACAGAATCAGTACTGAATAAACATTATGTAATTGCTGTTGTAACTGGATGATACCGTCCTTCGCAAGAAGCAGGAGAGCACAGAGGTTAGTTAAGAGCACTGGTTGTGGAGTCAGACGCCTGGGTGGGACTCGGGCTGGGCCAGCCATTAGCTGGGGGAGCTTGGACCAGTCCCTGAAATGAAGATAATGATAGCTAGTGCCTGGCCACTGAAAAGGTGTTTAATAAATATTTTATGAATAGGGACATAGTGGACGATGATAGAGGGATATGATGACAAAGTGTGTGTGTGTGTGTGTGTGTGTGTGTGCGCGCGCGCGCGCTGAGATGCTACATAAGCACATTTGACTCAAACACCTTCTGTTAACTAAGGAGGGACGGCTGTCCTGGTCCCCCTGGAGTGTGCCCTTGTACCCTGAACGACACCCGCCACGCGTGTCCAGGTTTACCATCCCTTACAAGTTGTCTTTGTTCTCATTGTTCAGCTTCTTTTCCACCAGGGCTTTGTTCTAGCATGCTTCCTCCACCCTCCCTGCTGCCTCCTCCAAGAATATGTTTATTTGGCTTTGCACAAGTCTGGGAACTCGGTGACAGGAATGGGGGGGGTCCCATGTCACACCGCCTCAGAGCTGCTACATTACCTTAAATTGATTTTGCAAATGAAAGCTAAAAACTAAGCCAAGGCGAGCCATCCATTTTGTCTAAAGATGATTATAATGCTCTTTTACGGCCTCCTAAATGACAAAGCAGTTTGTAACCTGCCTGCATCAACATTTGCTTATATTAGCACCCGAGATGCTTGATTTTTATTAGCCCCACGTTATCATTTTATGAAGACGCAGGGGCTCGGTAAAATTAGTGTGCAAATAGAATGCCCATTTTGCATTTTCCTGTGGTCAGCAGAAATGCCGAATGCAATTGAGTTGATAGTGGGTCAGGAGAGACATTCATAAAGGTAGCCTTCACCGAGGGCCCCGGTAATGCCATTTATCATTTCTGAACTGCTGAGATAGATGGCATCAGTGTTAGACAGTGTTTTTTTTAAAGGGCTCGGTGGCATTTTTTTTTATTAAGGGAAAAGCAATATAAATACTAAGAGAATAGTTAAACTTCCCCCAGGAATAAGGGATGAAAACAAACACTTTTGTATGTTATAGATGGAAATGCAGAGGATGTAGAGTCTTGCATTGTTATTGGATCCAGAGGAGACACATAAGGTGGTGAAAGAGGCACTGAGCTGGGAGCTGAGGCTTAACTACCTCTGCCGGCTACATGACCTTCCATCTGTGAGCCTCAGGTCCCTCGCCTGTAAAAGGGGGTCAATACTCTCCACCTCACAGAGACATGATGCAGAGTAAATAAGATAATGTGTGTCTAAATTTCTTTATAAACCATCATCTATATGAGTATTTTTTTATTTATTAATTTAACAGCTGGTTTCTGAACACCTGCTCCATGCAAGGTCCTGGGAAAGACATTAAAAATGCACAGTACAAGTTGCAGTTTCTCCCTTGTGGAGCTTCTATTCAGTCTAGGAAAAGGTCACATGTCTGACCATGAGCTTCTTTAGAAAAGGTGGGTCTTCTCTTTCTCCCTTTGCTCCTAAAGGTGCCTAACTCAGTGCTGAGTACACAGTGAGTTCTCAGAAACATCTTCGGTCTCCATTATCTATCTTGCTGCCTTTCCTATCATTAGGGACTCAATTGACCTCACCCCAACAGACCAAGCAAGTCCCAAGCCTTTAGAACCAGGCTTCATAGAGTTACTAGTTTTTATTTTAGTATCTGACATTGATGTATCAAAAGTGGGATCATGAACTGCATTCAAAATAACCTGTCTCTAGCATTTCAGAAGCTGAAATCCTATTCCTTGTTTCTAACTGCCCTCAATGGAATCCTGTAATCCAACTTCTCTCTATTTTCATTTCTGAATTCACTTCAGGTTGTTGTTCTGTTCTGGGGCAATCAGTCCTTCCTCTGCCCACGGCTAAGTATCCTCCTCCTGCCCTTTCTTTCTGGAACTGTCACTCTTGGCTACTGCTTTTGCTTAATTATATCTTTGCACAGTAGCTAAATTTTCTTATACAAGTGAGACTTCTGTAGAGGCAGCAAGAGCTTGGGCCAAGATTCAGAGCCACATTTTTCTACTTATTTGCATGGCTAGTAATTTTTTATTGGATGTTGGATTTTGTGAATTATACATGGTTGAATGTCTGGATTCTGTTACCTTCCCTTAAAGAGAGTTGGGATTTATATGCCAGTCAGTTATTCTTTTTTCAGCTTGGTCCTTTTGAGATTTGTTTTTAAACTTTGTTAGTCTAGAGCAGCGGTTCTCAACCTGTGGGTCGTGACCCCTTTGGGGGTCGAACGACCCTTTCACAGGGGTCGACTAAGACCATCGGAAAACACATATATAATTATATATTGTTTTTGTGATTAATCACTATGCTTTAATTATGTTCAATTTGTAACAATGAAATTGGGGGTCATCACAACATGAGGAACTGTATTAAAGGGTCGCGGCATTAGGAAGGTTGAGAACCACTAGTCTAGTATTTTTCCTTCTGGGTTCTCGACTGATTGCCTGAGCAATCAATGAGGGAATTCAAATGAGTCCTGGTTCTCTGTGCAGTTCACTGCTCCCTGGTCATCGTTTCATTCTCCCTCACATGTTATCTGTCTGACCTTGAACAAGTTATATAGCTTCTCTGAGACTCAGTCTCCACCTCTATGAAAAGGACTATTAATGAGAATGTTTCTGTAAGGATTATAAATAATTTGTATATTGTGCCTGACATAAAAGGAGCTAATTGAAAGGCAGTTGCCACTTTTACTAATTTAAGTACTACCCTCTTTACTTAATCAGTTACTGAATATTTACTAGGCAGTATGTTAGCTTGTATAATTATTACAACAACCCTATGGAGTAGATATTATTATCCACATTGATAGATTAGCAAATTAAAACTCAGAATGGATATACAACTTGCCTAGTCAGTGGATCTGGGATTTAGTCACTTATATGACCTCTTTACATGACTTTAATATTAATATAATCAGTTTCATCAAGGAATGGGATATAGTCTTTTAATATTGAGTAGCCAGGGACATAATTAAATTAGCCAGCAATGGCTGGGACTTAATGGCTCTAACCCAAGCATGTCAAACTCAAAGGCTAACACTGGCCAAATAAATGAGGCATGCGGCCCACTGACGGCGAGTTTGACATGCTTGGATGATTTAAGAGAGAAATGTAAAGCATCCAGCCCATTTCCTGCTTTCTCCTTCTCCTAGTCTCAGCTTTCCTTGCCTTCCTTAGCAGCCTTCTTTTTTTTTATCTTCCAGACAATCTTCGGGAAGGGGCAGAGCAGAAGGTGGTATTCATCACGGGTCGAGTCCACCCAGGGGAAACACCCTCTTCCTTTGTGTGCCAAGGTGAGTAGCAGGACCCCATGGGTATCCTGTGCTTGACAGCCGCCCCCTCCCACTGGGGCACTGTGATGGTATCTGGGACAGTGTGGTAACACACAGAATCATTATCTTGGATGGGAATTCGCTTCACTTCTAAAGAGATTACACTTGATCTTTCCTAGGATTTATTTTCAAAAATATTTACCACATGTATGTATGCATGACTGGATGAATGAGTGGATGGATGCATAAATGAACAGGGGGACCGAATGAAGTTCTCTAATATGTGCTGTGTTGACAATGAGCCGTACAGGGACACCTACACTCTCTAGCTGTGTTTTATTTGTTTCCAGTGGTTTATAACAATAACACATCTGGTCCAGGCCAAAGTGCATGTTGCTGGAAGGGCAGGCAGTGCACTAGGGAATTAAGGACTAAAATTTTTCTATTCACTCATTCACTCAAGTATTCACCGAACATACAACTTTTGAAATACCTATCATGAGCAAGGAAGCATGCTTGGTGTCAGACAACCAGAGATAAATAAGATACAATGTCTCTTCTCAAATATATCTCTTTATAATTGCATTTTATTTGTTATCAAATATTTCATCTATATAAAATACATTTAATTAGTCAGCTATATAAATATGTTCAATAAGTAACATATAAATAATAATTTAGTGAATGCCCAGCGTAAGAAGCAGAAGATTATCAATTCCTTTTAAGTCCGTTGTCCTCCTTCCTGCCCTCCCCCTCACACAAATAACCATCAGCTTGAATTTTGTATTTGTCTTTTTTAACAGTTTTACTAAGCATGCAAGCATTCCTAAACAATGTGGTGTTAGTCTTGCATGGTTTTGAACTTTATAAAAATGGTACGGTCCTGTGTGTGCCAATACTGGTTTTCACCCAGGATCCATGTTGGTGAAGAGAGCTGTTCACTGTTTCACCGTGCAGTCTACTCCTCTCTGTCTGCACCTCAACTGACCTGTCTGTGCTCCTGAAGGAAGAGTTAGGTTGTTTGCAGTGTTTTCTCTTGCAAACAATGCTGATACAAATGTGCTTACACAAGTGCCTTGTGCACAAGTACGAATTCCTTCCTAGGGGGTTTAATCATGGATGTAACTGTTGGGCCATAGACATGTGCACATTCCCTTTTCCAGGTATTCGCTGCCTCAGGCAATGCATCGGAGCTCCTGGTGTCCCACATTCCTGCTAACACTGTTGCACTTTTACCTATCTAGTGGGTGTGCTATATATAAACTACATGATACTATATATGTGCCTAGCATTGTAACATGTCAAATAAAACACACATTTTATTTTAATTATCTAGTTTTATTAATTTGACTTAATTTATTTCCACTATATGAGTTTTTCAGTGTCAGAGGAACTAATATGAGAAAATTGAAGTTAAGAGAAGTTAAGTAGTTTATCTCATTTTAGTCTCAAAGTGATCATGAGGTCAAAGGGATAGGAAAAACCACTAAGGTCACATAACTTGAGGGAGATGGCCTGCTGCCGGGGAAGTACCTGGTGATTTGCCATGAGATAGGCTTGGGGTCAAATGTCGGCTCTGCCACTTCCTCGCAGTGTGACACAGCTTCCTGGACTGTGAAATAGGTTAGGAAACCAATCCCTGTCTGAAGGCTGTGATGGAGCTGGCCTGGGGTGGATGCACACAAACACCCCGTCCTATACGTGGCATCCGGCAGGCCCGCAGCAGGTGCCCCTCCTTCCTCATGGGGAGCTGAGGGGGTGAAGCAGCTAATCCCCTTTGTACACTGTGAGGCATTATGCAGATAAATATGGGGTCTATTTTCCCCATTCGCATTTTTGCAGCACTGTGATTGGACATAACTGCCTGCCTCGATGTTTCAGGCAAGGAGACGGTTTCAGGGAGAGAAGGTGATCCCCCCAGAGCCAAGCAGCTCAGACGAGGCACAGCTGGGCTGTCTCACCTCCTCGCTCCAGTCACCTTCGCTTACTCCTTGGCATTCTCACTTCCAGCACTGTCCTTGCCATAACCTCTCCCAGGTCCCTCTTGGTTTTGTGGCGGCCATCTGTCAGTTACTAAACTTGGCAGCAGACCTGTTCCCCCAGCTAATCGGATGCAACTATTGAGTCCTTTGTAAAAAGGCAGCAGCCGTACCATCAATACTTTCTTCTCGGGGAGCTTAGACTCTCATGCCCACCTCCTCTGTGCGCAGTGGACAGAGGGCAGGGCCGCCTCCCATTTTATAGGCGAGGCCTGAGGCACAGAGTTGGGTAGAGCTCGGGTGCTCTCTCTGTTGGCCCTGCTTTTCCAAAAAGGAACCTGGATGGTGCCGAGTTGATAGATCCAGTGCTGTCCTGTAGGCGTTCAATCAAAGTTTACTCCTTGGCAGAGCCTTTTAATGCCTCCCCTCTACCTTCTCAAGATAAACTGCAAACTCCTTGCATGACATTCACCCTTCATGATCTGGCTCTTGCCAGGTTCTCTGGCCTCAGCCTTATTATATCCCAGCCCCACACAACTTAATTCCTGAATGGACAATCCTCTCTCCACTGCTGGGCCTTTGCACCTGTTACTCCTCTGCCTGCTGCTCCTTGCCACTTGGTAAACACTTCCCATAGCCCACGGTTTATGTCAGATGCCGTTTGTGGGCCCCTGGCACACACCTTGTAGCCCCCTACTTTATGGCTGCTTTAGAGGTTACCTGGTAGTCATCTTTATTGCCCTGGTTTGTTATATATTAGAGTTATATTGTTTCTGCCCCTTTAAACCATGAGCTACCAGAGGCCTAGGGTTGGGTCTTCAAATGTCATTTTCTACATCTGTAAAATGAGTATTATTTGGCTCATCTCCTGAGGCTGCGGTGAGGGACACATGATGTGTTGACTCTGGGATGCTAAATCTGAGTTCAGAAAGAGGAGCCTCAAAGTCAGAAGGCGGCCGAAGGGCACAGAAGGGGCCACAGGGGACGGAAAGAGGGAGAAGGGTGCAGAAGGGAGCCTAAGGGGTTTTGAACCTGGGTGTCCCAAGCCTGTGCATGCCCCACTCAGCAATGGGAAATGCTAGAAGGCCAAGCTCCTGCCAGGAAAACACAGCTCTCTGGACATCCCACAGCAGTGGATGTGCACGTTACAGAAGAGGGTGCAGAGGCTCAGAGAAGCAAAGTGGCTTGCCCAAGGCCACACACTAACTCATGGCAGGTGTGGCATGGGCCCCTCTCCCCAATCCTGCCTTGTCTTTCCCATCCCTGACTGTCCCTCAGGACACACAGTTCCTCCTTCCTGGAGGCAGCTTAAGTCAGGCATCCTTTCCCCATTGCCAGAGAGACTGCGGCACAGTCTTCCCCAAGGGTTTCTCAGTCCCCACAATGGCTCAGCTGGGATTTCTTCCCCAGACTCAGCCCTCCCCCAGGTCCCCTCCCCTGCCCACCTGGTTGTGGGGAGGGCAGAGGGACCCAAGGCCTGGAAGGATGATGTCTGGTACCTTCGTTCTGTTCACTTCTTCCCCATTAACTGGCTCAGTGACCTTGAGTGGGGAACAGACATGTGGGCCTGGTCGCCCCATCTGGCTGGGACCAAGGTTCTCACCGCAAAGCTGCTGACACACCTGCTGCTGGGAGCAGAGCGGAGCCTTGTCCTCGCAGAGCTCCGGAGGCGGTGGTGGGAAGGGAGGCAGAGGTGCTTGGCGGTGGGATGGCTGCTTCTCAGCCACCCCTCTGCCGCCCCAGACCCTCTCCTGGCCTCTGTGAGGACACACTCTCCTTGTTCATCAGCCACAAGGTGCTCGGTGTCGCCCTGGAGTAGAGCGTGTGTGGCATGGTCTCAGGAGCTATGTGGCCTGGGATTGGATCCCAGCTCTTCCCCTTAGTACACTGTGACCTTGGGGATGTCCCCTAACCTCTCTGTGGCTCCATTCCTTTACCTTAAAGGGAAATTATAGTAGGAATCCTGCCTCCTAGTGTTGCTGTGACAGTGTAATGAGTTAATGTTCACACAACACGTAGGACAGTGCCTGGTGTTCAGCAGGCCTCCGTACGTGCTATCAAGAGGGAGGTCATGGCTAACCGAGCACTTGCAAGTGCAGGTATGGGTCCACTAACCCTCATCATGAACCAAAGCCCAGTGTGTGACTTCCATCCCCCACTTCCTTGCCACCCTCCTGAGAGCTGTTACCGAACCCTCCTCTTTACGTGGGGGAAGACAGACCACACTGCACGTCAGCTGGTTGGCAAGGACTAGACCTCAGCTCTTCCTCCTGGTGCAGTGACAGCTCTTTTGTTAAAGCCCCTCCGTGATTCAGATCCTTCATAATTGAATTAATTAGACCTACACTGTGGGATGACACTGCAGGCAAGGCACATCCCCCTGGAGGGCAGCATGGGCAGTGGGCACAGCAGGGGCCTGTACTTGGGCAGGGCTGAGTCTGAGTCCTGCCATTTCCACCTCCCAGCCTGGGACCTTCAGCAAATCCTCAACCCTCCTAGAGCCTCTGGTTCTTCACCTGCAAAAGAGGGACAGCTGAGTAGTCCTCACAGAGCTACTGGGAGGGCAAACGAGACCATGTATGTCAGGCTCAGGGCAACGTCAGGCACGTGGAGGTGCCACTATGCCGACTCTCTCTTCCTCTCACTCTTCTCAGTAATCCTACCAGGTCATTGGGCAGCTCTCAGCCCTGCTCTTCAGAAAAGCCAAAGGATTCACTACATGTCAACTAGTAGAGGGGGGACCAGACCCAGGTCTCCTGTCCCACAGCCTGGACCCTGCTGCTATGTGCCAAGGTGCCCACCAGGCCCTAGTCTGGTGTAGAGCTGACCTTCCCTCTGGGAGGTCATGCCTCAGGTTGTCTTGTGGGAGTAAGAGGATGAGCAAGGAGACCCACAGATACACACATACATACACTCACACTCACAGCCTTCCTGCCTCCAGCTTTCCTACCATCCTGCTTTCTCCCACCTCCCTGATCAATCCGCTGGAAGGAAAGGACCCAGAAAACTTTTGAAGGGACAGACCGATCTTATGGGGCTGATAGTGTCTCCCAGCAGGAGGGAGATTATTCTCCTCACTTGGCAAAGGAGGGTTCTTCTGCTCCCGAAGAGAGGAAAGAAATAGATGGAATCCGAGACTGTCAGTGCGGGTGCACTCTGGGGAGTTTCTGAGTTCTTTCTCCTTATTGTAAAGACAAGAGTGGGCCCACCAAGCAAAACTGGGGCCCAGGGGCTCTGATTGCTGGTTTGTGGCTTTTCCAATTCAGTATCTTGTCCCCAAATCCCATAGTCATTAAACTTCACAGATCAGGACTCCTAGATCTAAACTCCATTCTGTTTTTCACTTTCCTCCATGTCTTTCAACCTTTGATCTAAGTGACTTTCTTAAAGCACATTACAATTTTAAGCTGCTGTGTCAGGCAGTTGGAACATAGGAGCTCTAACCCAGTCACAGAACAGCCTTTCAGATTAGTATTATTATGCATATGTCAATATAAGTTAACTGGTCAGAGAAAGCTGGTAACTTCTCTAGCTTACAACCAGTCATAATTTGAATACAGGTCCCAAGTCCATGCTCTTTCCACTACCTCCGCCCATGCAATGTGTTTCCTCTCCACTCTTTACTTTCTCCAACATTTCTCCTCGTAGTCCTCTCCACTTCCCACTTTTCCCACCAAAACAATGTGGAAGGCCCCCTCCCAGTTTCCCGACCAATGGGAAAGATGCCCTTGAACTGTATCTGACCTCAAGCCAGGAGATGGGTCTGAAACCTCTCCTCTCCATCCCCACCCTCACACTGGGAGCCAGAGCTCAGGGTGGCTGCGGCTTTTGGTCTGGCTTTGTTTTCTCTCATCATCTTATTAGCTGCCTAATTGGCAGCCCAATTAATCTGTTCATCTGTGAAGGAGGATGGATCACAATGAGCTACTCTGTTTCCAGAAGCCATTCTCTGAGGCAGCATGGCCAGACCCTGAGCGCAGGCTGGCTCCTTGATGAAGGGCCGCCCCGGGAGCCGGGGTCAATTAGTGGACAGATTAAACAATTATGAGCCCCTAACAAGGGTGCCTGGCATCATTACCCTGCCTGTTTACTGGCAAACTGCAGCTTTAGCATGAAGACCAACAAATAAATTAAGGCATCTGGTCTACTGCTGCATCGGCCGAGGAGTAAATGATGTCCAACTGGCTTGTGGCTGCCCATCGATTCTCAGCCTTGGCCTAATGAAAAGCCTGAGCCATCCCTCACTGGTCCCAGCAGCTCTGGAATGTGCTCTGGAGCGGAGCATCACTCCAGGAGCTAAGTGCCTGCTGCTGGGCATGGGGACTGTTCTCAGTCACCCTGCCGCCTCCTCCTGTCCGTCTGTCAAACCTACTCTGTTCCAGGGCCCAGCTCAAAGCTTCTTCTCCCTGGTGCAGGATAGGAGTTGCTCTTCTGCATTTTGGAAGGGTTGTGTACTCTCTACTACTTTCCAGCATCACAGTCATTTCGTGGGATGCCAGGGTGCCATCTTGCCCATTGTTTTTGGTCTTAGATGAAGAAGCATTGAGAAGAGGAAGGCAAGGGCAAGGGCTCAGCATTGTTTTTTCACCTCCTCTCCTGTGGATGCATGCAGGCCATGACCAGAGGACACCAAGGAGGGAGTGGCAGGGTCAGACTTGCACTTTAGGAGGATCCCCTGGCTGCAATGTTGGAAGGCACCTGTCAGAGGCATTGGCTGTCATCCAGGCCAGATGTGGTGGTGACATAGAGCAGAAGAGAGGCAGAGGATGGGACGAGGGCAGCTTTGCTAGATTCAAAGAAGAGACTTGGGGATGGCCTGACTGGGGAAGTAGAGTCATGGAGAATTCAACTTTTCTAAATGTAGTGACCTGGAGGCAAGGTGGTGGTGGTGCTAGTGAGAAGCAAAGAGGGAATCTGGAACAGAGGACCCTCAAGGTGGGGAAAGGGACAGTTGGGGAACACTGAAGAAAACTCTCTCCTCATGTGACTTTAGCCAGATCCCTTCTCCCCCCCCCTGCTTCCTGGTGTGCCCATCCTCAGCACGAGGATCCAGATCCCCAAGTCCCCTGACCACATAGTCATCAATTTGATGTCAGTATTTAGCGGACTTCATCTCTGTCTGTCAAAACCCTGAGGGCTTTCCAAGGCACAGCTCAAATGCTATCTTTTCTCGGAAGCAATCCCTGTGCTCTCCACAGGAAATGGTCTCTCCATCCTGTCTTTGGGCTTCAATTGATCTATATTTATAAAATTCCCCAGGCAGCACCTAACCCATAGTCCTATGTCCACAGTGGCTAACAACATAGACCCCAGTCACCTACTGAGTTCTCACTATTTTCCAAGCTGAGGACTATGTGCTCCCTCCTTAAAAACTCTTTGAGGTTAACACAGATGCTTCTCTTTCCCTAGGGATCATTGACTTCCTCATAAGCCAGCACCCAATTGCTCGTGTCCTGCGGGAACACCTGGTCTTCAAGATTGCACCAATGCTCAACCCTGATGGAGTCTACCTGGGCAATTATAGGTGAGTGACGGGACAGGATGCTCGGAAGCTGGTAGTTGTAGGATGGTGGTATGGAAGCAATAAGAAAAAGGGGATGTATTTTTGAGGAAGGATTTTCAGACTTCCCATGAGTTCATTAGAGGAAGCTTCACCCTGGCTCTTGAGAATGTGGCTAATGAGCCTTGGCTCTTTCATGCTCAGCCACCTGAGATATCACTTGCTGGGGTTTTCTGAGCAGCTTGCTGGACCAGGAATCAAGTGCCTACTATCAGTTTTGGCACCTACTTCCAATGTAACCTTAGGGAATTCACTTCCCCTCTGATGCTCAGCTTCTCTTGTGTAATGGAGAAAATAATTACTTATCTGGCTAGGTATCTGTGAGCATCAGAAGAAATGGTGGTGATAACTATGCTTTGCAGAATATCATATGGTGGTTATGATGATTGCTGTTTCATTTCTGTGTTTCTTCTTGGAGGTCACTAATGATGGAATGGCACCCCAGATCATCTGAATAGCATTTCTGTGTTTTGGGCCCCACACTCACTCATGCACTCTTGTCTTGAGTTCTCTTTCTCTGGTGCACCATAATTTATAGCCTAAATTCCACTGCTCAGGGGTTATCTGCTGAAAGGACATTGGATCCTCTCAGATAGTGTTCTTGCTCTTATTTCACAGTTGAGGCCACTGATTCGCCCAAAGTCACACCCAGTAAATCACTGACTGTCTAACTTCTCTGCCCCTATTATACAGCTCTGTTGTTTATGATTTCAACAACAACTCTCAAGAAAACATTCAAAGGGCTGAGCTTTCTTGAAAGGCTCTGAATGACCTGGTGTCCATCTGTCTGTCTACTGTGCTGCCTCACCTCCCACACCACACTCTTAGAACCATTGCTGTGGCCACACTAAGTAAAGCCTTGTTCCCTGGATGTGTCCTGTTGGTCTCTGATCCCTTACCCTCTGCCCAGAGCCCCCTTATCCCTTCTTCACCTCACTCACCACTCTTCACAACTCATGCTGTTCCCCTTCTTCTGGGAAACATTCCCTAATCCCCCAAGCAGAATTGGTCACAGCCTTCTCTGACCTCCCACCAGCCTGGTTATTGAGCAAGTTTTATCCCATTGCATAGACCCCACTGACCCTCCAGCCACCAGAGAGCAGGGACTGAGCCCTAATGGTCATTGTGTATACCCCAGCACCTGGCAGCAAGGGTCAGCTCATAGTAGGTGCTCAAAGGGTGTTTGATGAATATGAGTGAAGAAATGCAATGACTCAACTGATGAAGAAACTGAGGCCCAGAGATGAGATGGGACTTGCCCAAAGTAGTGGCAGAGCTCAGACCAGAACCCAGGTTGTCTGGTGCCAGCCAGCTTCACTTCAAACAGAGCTGGTTTGCTGCTTTCCAAGAGCATGGCAATTCGGTCCAGAGGGGCCTCCTAGTCCCCCTGGGTATGAGTTAGAGAGAGCCCACGGGATGCATGATGCCTTAATTAAAGACAGTTTTGCTTCCTCTCTTAATTGGCTCGAGTGATGGTTCATTAGCACTGGCAAGTTTTACGGCTTGCTGCGGGCCTGAGTGCCGAGCCGTTCTCCTCCCAGGACAGAATGCTGTTAGTGATGATGGTGGTGGAATGACCGTTTGATTTATGTTAACATTTCTGTTTAATTACAAGAGCGGCCGTGGTCAGAGGGAGGTCAGTGATGTCCACACACACAGTTATGTCGTCCTCTGCCCTCCAGGGAGGATGCACTGGAAAGAGGTCTGTGACCTTGGCCAGGATGCCGCCCCTCCCTGGGATGGCCAGGGGGGTGGTGATGAGGAACCAGATGCTTTAATATGTCTTCGAGCTCCAGATTTTGTGATTTGGGATTTCAAGATGAAAGAGCTCCGACCCTCAGAAGTGGTTCTGCCCTGAAGTTTAAACCCCCAGCATTCTCCAAGTGAGAATGTGTGACTCTCATTAAGAGAGCAGGAGGAAATCCCTAACCACAGGCATTAATCTGTTGCTAAAACAGCTCTGAGTAGCAACAAAAGAGCCTATCAGTCACAAAAATTCACTACCAGATGTGGAAAGTGTGCAAAGTAATATAGTAAAGACTCAGAACTGAGAGCCCCAAGGTACCTTGGAGATCCCCAGACCAGCCCCTCCTGAGCCCCGCCCCTCCTGAGCCCCAGACTGATACAGCAGTGGTTCCCACAGTTTGATGGGACTTCCCACGGCATTATGGGAGCTGGGGGGAAGAATTCAGAGTTCGAGTAAGTTTGGGGAACACAGAGTTGAGAAAAGTTAAACATGTCCTTTTACAATAAGATTTTTCAGTTTCGAAAATGCTAATGAACCAGAATCTGAAGAAGGGAATGTGTATTTAGTGTTCTCCAAATGTGCCTCAGGGAACCCTTTTTCTATGGAGCTTGTTCCCCCACCCCCTCCCCCATACACTCCCCCAGGGGTGTTAGGGTTTATAAAACACATCGCAGGAAATGCCATTTCAAGAATTCTGTTTGCTCACCCAGCCCATGTCAAGCTCTCCCACACTTATTTCATCCTTATTGCCACCCTGTGAAGGGAGGGGGGGGGGTCTTTGTTAAAGTTTCCATGCTTGCAAATAATAAAAATCTTCTCAAATTAGCTTGAGTATAGGAGGAAAGGCAGGAAGGAGGGGGCATAGGACAGAGGAAGGGAGGGAAGAGGGGAGGGAGGGAGGGAGGAAAGGAAAGAAAGGAGGAAGGGAGAGAGGGAGGGAGGAAGCTTATTACTTAAAGTATATAGAATCATAGAGACAGAAGGCAGAATGGTGATTGCCATGGGTGGGGGAGCGGGGGGAGGTATTGTTTAGTGGGCATAGACGTTTCGTTTTATAAGATGAAAAGAGTTTTGAAGAAAGATGATGTTGATGGTACCACAACAATATGAATGTACTTAATACTATTGAACTGTATCATTAAAAATTATTAATATGGTGAATTTGATGTTATGTGTAATTTACAATTAAAAAAAGTAAGAATGGTATGGCTGCTGATGCAATGCGAGCATCTTCCTAGGTTCTGGGGGAACTGGAGGCCTAGAGGTCTTGCAGGATGAATACTGTAGCTTCAGGTGTTGCAGAGCCAAGAAGGTGCAAGGCAACTCCTGGTAGAAGGCCGTTGGGTTGGAGTGGGGCCTGGTCCCTCCATCAGTGGCTGCCCATATGCGTTGCCGCGTTTGTATTGTCTCTCTCTCTCTCTGCTACCTCCTCCCCATCACTTCCTTGGCAGAGAAGAAAGCCTCCGCCTCTACCTGTGCCCCCTGCGTTCTCTTCTGAGCGTGCGGAGTGCACAAGTTGCCTTGCATTTGAGAAACAGACTCTCCATCTCCATCTGACAGCAGGACTCTGTGGTGGGTTTGCATTTCTTAATTAGGTGCTTGTCATTGTGTATTCCATAGAGCCACGTATAAGTAAACAGCCATAGACCTTTGAATAAATTTATTGGTTTTATTTATGTTTCTGGGCATAAAAAAATCTATAATTACCAGGTACAGCCTCAGTATAACTGGTATTTAATGACAATTACTTTTTGTTGCCATAGAAATGAGTCCAAAGTAGTTACCCATAATTTCTCATTTCCCAAACCTCACACATGCTGGATTGCAATATTACCATAGTAATTGCCTATTAGTCATCATAAAATACGCAGTTACCCAAAAGATAGCAAGGGGCTGTGAAATTTCTCATCTTCAGAAAACCTCGGTGCTTCTTGGGAGTGTGGAGGCGGGGCGAGGCGCAGGCTCCCCGGGTGGTGAGAGTGATTCGCTGTGTAGATGGCTCTGCCGGTGGAGAGATGCTGCCACGCTCTGCAGACTGCGCCTCGTTATGTCTCTTGGCCCTGGCACTCCTCACGCCCGCAGAGGATGCGCGAGTGCAGTAAATCCAATTTAACTAAGGTTTGTGGAGGGCCTGCTGAGTGCCAGGGCCCAGGTGGGGCTTGGGGCAGCCGACAGCAATCAGAGGCAGCCCTTCTCCATGAGAAGCCCTGTGTTTGGACTAGAGCAGTTGTAGGCACTTAGACGTTAGACAAAGAAACAGAATTTCCGGAGGATGAGGCCCAGAAATCAGGATTTTAAAAAGATTCCCAGGTGATTCTAATGTGCAGCCAAGGTTGAGAACTACTGGACTAGAGGGTGTGTGAGTGATGCTATGGAGGCCTCGTCTAACGTCTAAGTGCCTACAACTGTACGTTATCTATATCATCACATGTGACCCTCTCAGCAGCCCTGTGATGGAGGTAGCATTGTAGCCCCATTTTAAATAGAGAAGGAAACTGAGGCACAGAGTGCCAAGGAGCCTGGCCCAGGTCCCTCCGCAGGAAGGGCAGAGCAGGTTGGTGAACCAGGCAGGCCCATCGTAGCCTGCCACAGATTTCACCCCCACTCTGCTGCTCCTGAAAATAGGAGGGCTGCCCTCTGACCAGTGATGAGGGTGGGGTTTTTAAAGATGGAGGGTATATAGGAGTTCACAGACATAGAAGGGAGAGAAAGAGAGATTTGTACAGCAAAACAGCGTTAACGATGGCAGAGGGTGAAATACCAGGGAACTAGTTCCAACAAATACACACACACACACACACACACACACACACACACATACACACATATATTATAACTGTCTGGCTTTGCCCACTTCAACATCCAAAGAAGGAAATATTTTGAACTGGCTAAAACAGAATAGAACATAAAATTAGCTGTGAGAAATACATGTCAATATCCCCTTTGTTCTCTGACAGCATAACAACTGTGCATTTTATTTTTCATCAAGTAGAAACGGAAAACAAACATCCGCTGCAAGGATTCCTCACAGGAAGACCTGCTGGCCTCTCTCCCTGAGCCTCCTTCCCAGCCGACCATGTTTCACCCACTTGGTGACTCTGTCAGCACCATCAGCCTTGGAGGGGGAGGGGAGCTTGGACAAAGTATCCCTAAGTGACAGCAGTACCCTCTCTTTGTCTACCTGCAGCTGTGTCTGGGTGGTTCTCTCCCTCCCAAA